CCAGGATACTGGGAAGACTGTTTATGTTGTGGATTAGGACTTCTATGAAAGAAGACAATGCTGGTTGAAGGTCTATCAAAGCAAATTGTTGTTGTTGCTGCTTATTTCCATAGAGTTGAGTATGACTCATAGTAAACCTATGAAAAAAAGGCCTGAAGTCTTCTATAACTATTAACATTTATTAAAGGTCATAGAGTTTCCAGAGCCATACTGTGTAGGAAGTGGATGCCACTCCTGCTACTTAAAATAAAAAGACAAGTTTGAAGCTGATAAAGCAAAGCACATCCCATTAAAATATTAAAATGTGCTTTAGTGAATACTCAGCATTATTCTCAAGAACTAGAGTTAAGTTTATCAGATGAATGTAATTAAAATCTATTCAGAATGCACATGTTTCAAAAGAGTAGTCACAGTTCCATGAATGCTGCTGTACAGAGAGCTTCCTTTTGGATACTTGGTTTATACTACAGTGAAAAGGCAGACAATATGGTGGTTATAAGTATTTTTTCTCCAGATAGAAAAATCTTGGTTACATCCAAGTTCTGCCACTAACTGAATGCCCTTGTACAAATTATATGGCCTTCTAAGCCTTGGTCTTTAAGTACATATGAATGGCATTATCCGATTAAGTTTATTGACAACTACATTAAGTAATATATACTTGGTGCTCAGTACTGTATGTATGTTTTGTTTATTAATAGGTAAATCATGCTGTTAGCCATTTGTTCTTTCTCCCTCTATCTGTATCCCTAAGAGATGACTGAAATCATCCACTTGTCAAGAAAAAACATAAGAAACCTTCCATAAAGTGGCATCCAATTATCTTCAATAAATCACAACATGTCACAGCAGCAAACCCCATTTAAAGTGATACGAAGCACACTTAATATTAACTTTAAAAATCACCCTATCTGAGAAAAGAGCTTTAAGGAGAAAGAAAAAGAAAACTTTTTTTAATATATTAACTTAGAGAAATTGTCCACTGGGCTAAAATGTATTAATTCTGCCTTTTCTTGCCCTTGTTTATTTTTCATTTGTCAAAAGGAATTTTTAGTGATGGGATGCATGTGTTATTAAAGATAAGGCTGCTCATAGGATTTATCTTCCAAAAATTGCTTAGAAGTAATTAGCAACAATTGTACTGTGCAATTTGGTCTTCAAGTCAACCAGACTAATTACTTAATGATACAACTGCCAAAGTTAATTGAAACTCTCCAATTAGCAAAGAGATAAAAATACTTGCAATACCTATGTCTTTCTCATATATAAACACACACACGAAGGAATTATAACTCTTATCATAACCCTTGTTAGTTATTTATATATAGGCATTTATAAGGTTTTGGCGAATTCTCAATATCCTAATAGAAGATTATACCAGAGTTCCCTAAATAAACACACACAAAGGAATTATAATTCTTACCATACCTCTTGTTATTTAGATATAGGAATTTATAAAGTTTTGGTGAATTCTCTGTTCTTTAAGGAAAAATAAGCATAGAAAATAATGTAACGGGCTTTTATTTGTTTATAGAGGTGATGATGTGATTATAATAGTAAGATATGATAGCATAAGTATAAAACTTGAGATATTTATATTTAAAGTAAGATACAAGAAAGTGTACTATAATAAAGCAAACTAGGTTGTCTGCTCTTGTTATTAGGTGCCACTGAGTTGACTTTAACTCATAGAGACCACATGAACAACAGATCTGAATCTTGCCCTATCCTATGCCATGCTTGTTCTCTGCTCTACTTGAACCCACTGTTATAGTCACTCTGTCAATACATTTTGTTGAAGGTCTTCTCCTCCTTCACTAATTTTCCAACTTTTCAATCTCAATATCCTTAAAAAGAACTGGTCCCTCCTAACAACATACCCAAAGTGTAAGAGACAAAGTTTCATTGTCCTTGTCTATAAGAAGTGCCCTGATTGCACTTTTGCCAAGGTGTATGTGTTTATTCTTTTGGTAGTCCAAGGGACATTCGGTACTCTACTCTACCACTACAAGTATAAGACATCAATTCTTCTCCTGTCATTCTTATTTATTGTCTAACTTTCAGATCTCTATCAAGTAATTTAAAAGACCATGGTTTGTATCAGGAGCTCTGAGAGCCTAGTGCACTGGGAAAGTCTGCTGTCAGGGACCTCTCCAGAGTACTAAAAAGCAACTATATCAGTCTAGAGACTAAGGTGCATCTGATCCAGACCATGGTTCTCACAGTTATGTGCTATGCATCAGAAAGCTTGACAATGACCAGGGATGATAGAAGGAGAATTGGTGTATTTGAGCTGTGGTGCTGGAGGACAACATTGAATATGCTATAGACTGCCAGGAGAGCAAAAAGATCCATCCTGGAAAGGATGAAACTAAGCTGCTTCTTGGTGGCAAGGATTCTGAAGCTTTGTCTGACATATTTTAGGCATGTTACAATGAGGGACGTGTCTTTGGAGAGGACATCGTACTTGGGAGGGTAGAGGGATGACACAAGAGAGGAAGACCCTCGATGAGAAAGATTGACTGAATGACTGGGGTATTAGGGGTAGGTGTGTCAGAGACAATAATTTTGGCTCAGGATAGAGCAGGATTAAGAGTTGCTGTACATAGGGTCACTATAAGTCACAGGCAGCTCAATGGCACATAACAACAACAAATATTTAAAAAGAATTGATTAAATCTTAAGTATTTTATAAATATTTATATTTTCCTAGCCTTGATTTTTTGTTTTGTGTAAAGATGTTATGAATAATATCTCTCATTGTACCAGAGAGTTTCATTTTTTTCTGTTGCTCTTTCAGTAGGTTCAAGTATTGTGATTATCCATTTAAAACCTTGTTGTGACAATAATCACTTCTCTGTAAAAAGCACGTCCCTCCAGAAACATATGCTCAAGAGACAGATTACTCACCTGGAGATAATTCATGTTCAACTGCATTTTAAATATACACTCTCAACACTTAAACTCCCTGCAATAACAACAGAATAAAACAATCTATGTATAAGTGACTGTGCACCTTTCAAACCTGTGTTGTTCCAGAGTCAACTGCACTGTGGAAAAAACTATTCAAATAAATGTAATATGTCAAAGGAATTGCATTTCACTTGTATTCTTCTGATGTTGTTTTGTTGCTGATTTTGTTTTGCTGCTTTGGGACTAAAAAGATCCTATATGTTTCAGAGTAGAATTGGTCCAACAGGGTTTTCTTGGCTATAATATTTATAGAAGCATGTCTCTGCTTGATAGGTTCCAACTTTCAACTTTGGTGACAAGGTATATTTACATTACCCTGGGACCTCCTTCTTCTAGGACCATTTTCAGATTTAACTACAGTTGTTGTTTTTTGTTTTGTTTTGTTTTTTTTGTCTGGGGGTCACCTAATGGATAGTGAGTTCTTTCAACCTCAAAGTAGACAGTTGGAATCCATCGTCTGCTCTGCTGGAGAAAAGTGGACAATCTCTTATGCAATTTACAGTCTCTGAAAATCTGCTGCAGGGTCAGCTATGAGTTTATTATAACTTGACAACACTGAAGTTCAGATTGGTTTAGTGTTGTGTTGTTTGTTTTATTTTTCTAAGAAGTAAATACTAAATGGAAAGAGTATGAGTAGAATGTTTATTATTGCTTTACAGAGCAATTGAATGCAATCATCAAGCACACATGTCTTGATCTGATCGTTGATGATCTGATCATAGTATCAGTGGCATCGAGATTGTCTCAGTTGACTAGAGAAAATATATTTAGAGAGAGGATAAATTCAACTAGTCATAAATTTTAAAAGAAAATCTGAGCCTCAAAATCAATATTTAAAATTTAAAAATTAACTTCTTATACATGATGTTATCCATTTTTATAAATGTTGACATCCTGTCAGAGTTCAGAGTGTGAACAAATTAAAAACCAATCACTATGAACAGGAAGAAAAGACATTATGTAAACAGATTTTTTAACTAAGCAAAAATTCAACAGAACATTAATGTTTGCAAGGTTGGGGGATTTCATTCAAAGTAAAATGAATAGTAAGAACAAAGGGGATAAAAAGAATATTGATAAGATATGATAAAATAACACAAATATTGGAGCATTATCAGAGAGAATTTGAAAGGTACACTAACAAATAGTTAGATTATGTTAGACCTTGCAAGTAAGCCAAAAGATTTGACTTTTCTCTAGACAATAATAAAAAATTGCACAATTTTAGCACAGGATAGTAACTCACTTAAATAGTTTTTTGACAAGATCATTAAAAGATTGGACAACGGTAGTCAGATCATCTTGGATGTCTTGTCATCTAAACAGAAAACTACTGCATTCCTTCAAGAAAACGTGACCTAAAGGTAAGTATGTAGCCTCAGTTAATTATGGTATAAGAAGATACTTATTATTAACTTTGCTGCTGCCTAAGAAATGTAATTTGGCTTCATCTATACTCAAATAAATTTAACAAATTGTGTATATTATATTTATATTTTAAATATTAGATAAGATAGAACATAATCAAATAGATCAAGGAATAAAACACGCCAAGATAGTAGATAGAAACTGACCTCATTCACAGTAGCATAGTAGCTCTCGTGCTTGAACGTGGGCGAGTTGTCATTCCTGTCTCTCACCACGATACGTACTTCATGGTAGATAACAGTGCCCACCTTTTTGTTGATGCACTGGACTTGTACCACAATAGAGTGTATGTTCATTGGTGGCTGCAAAATAGAAAATGCCTATTTTTAAAAAAGCAGTTGAAATTGAAATTTCTTATCACTGTCAGAATAATTAATTGTTCATTTGATAGTTTTCTTTAATATTAATAATTTTTTTAACTATTATCGTTTTGTGAACTACTTATGAATAAAAGAACATGAAACAGTTTCACTGTGCAATGCCTGATCTCAAAACATAAGGTCTCAAGTTCAAGCAGACTCACTAATCATGGATTCCAGGACAAATTGTGAGGGAGAAGGAGATGAGATGGTGGCTTAGTCAGTGTACCAGACGGTTCCTCTACAGCAAAAATTCAAAATTCTAAATGAAATCGATAAGATAGCAATCTTGGAACTCTGAACATTAAAAAAAGGCCAAATAAACAATTGACTCCTACAACAACTGAATGAATACAATGAGTGAGAAGTTACAAAAGGAAGGGTTTCTTCAAGCTGTGGCAATTCTGACCCTAAAAGAGAAGTACAGCTAAGGAATTTACTAACATTCTTGTAACAAACGGAAAAATTCTAGGTATACTCAGGTAAAGGTGGAAAGTGAATGGATAATGATCTAAGCAAGGAAAACACAAAAGAGAAGGGTAAAAATTCCAAATTTCTTTCATAAATAGGGAACAGAGTGAGGTATATTTATGAACAGTGGCACCATGGGACTAAAGTGAATGGTATGCACGGGGTGGTGGATCAGCAGATGTTGGAGTGAGGTATCCAGCTGTATCCCACTCTTGTACTTGTTCAGGTCCAAGTCCTAACTTCTGGCTGAAATAGACAGAAAGCACCAGAACACTAAGGTCTGCTGCTAAAGAGGCACATAGGTCTCCCTGAAACCTGTCCCTGACCTGGTAAGTAGCAGTGACTGTGTGATCATGCATGTAGCCCACTGAGTGGCCTTTACCATGCATCTGCACTCATGCAAGAATGCCACCCACACCAAATCAAAACATAGCTACTCATGTTACCCACCTCAAACCAAGAGAGTGGATATCTGCCTGCTATCCAACCCTATAACAACCTCAGAAAATAGCAGTGGCTTTGGGACCAAACACACACTTGTCTACCAGCTGCCACTAACTTGGAGGATGGTAGTGACAATTAGCTCACATCAGCCCAGGTAGGCACAGGAGAGATCTTTCCATATCTAAGGAATGGCATCATAATTCTAGACAAAGGCGGGGGGGGGGGGGGTAGAAACCAAACCCAAATCTTGAAATATACTGTGGTTTTTTAAACAAGGTGTCACTTGATTTTTTTCCCTTGTTATTCTTGCTATTAATTTTTAGTTATATTAAGTTGTACTATTTGCTTAAAAAACAGTAGCCAAAGAAAGAAGGTGTGGTGATATTATTCTCTGATAAAATAGGCTTTAAGACATATACACCACAAAAGCAAAAAGAAGAATGCCATGTAATGATTAAAAAATTAATTTATCAATAAGACATACTATAATAATTGTTTATACACTCAAGGATAGAGCTCCAATACATATAAAACAAACTTTAATAGCATTGGTAAGGGAAATAGGCAGCTCCAAAATAATAGTAGGAGATTTATCAAATCATTTTTGTTTAGAGACTGAAATGTGAAAGAAATTCACCAAAGAAGAAGCCTATGTCATAGAAATATATAAAGTATATTGAACAATATAAAAGTACATCAATTATTCTTCACTGAATATTAATCAGTCCCCAAAACAGACCATATTTTAGATCAAGAATCTTTGGGCAGAATATTAAATGATCTAGGAAGTATTAAAAGAAGATCAAAGAGTATACAGAGTCATTGTACTTAAAGAAATTGGCAGACACACAGAAGAATTTCATGAAACAACATAAGAGCAAGAGTCTATGGTGATGAAGGAAGAAGTTCAAGCTGTTTTGAAGGAATTGGCAAAAGTAAGTTCCCAGGAATTGATGGTGCGTATTTCAATTAACAGATGCCGCCCTAGATGTGCTCACCAAGTTATGTCAAGAAATCTGGAGGACAACCAATTGGCCAAATGAATGGAAGAGATCTATATTTGTTCCCATTCCAAAGAAAGATGACCCAACAGAGTGTGGAACTTATAGAACAATATTACTGATGTCATATGCAAGTAAGATTGTGCTGAAGATTATCCAAAAACGACTGGAACAGCACATCAGCAGAGAACTGCCAGAAGTCCAGGCTGGATTTAGAATGGGTTATGGCACTATGGATATTGTAACTAATGTTAAATGGATCTTGGCTGAAAGTGGGTGTTTCATTGATTACGCAAATCATTTGACTGTATGGATAACAAGAAACTGTGGCTGACTCAGAGAAGAATGGGAATCTCAGAACACTTGATTGTGCTAATGCAAAACCTATACTTGGGCAAAGAGGCAGTCATTAAACAGAGCAAGGAAACACTGCATGGTTCAATATTGGGAAGGGTGTACGCCAGGGATGTGTCCTATCTCTGTACCTTTTCAGCTTATATGCAGAACAGATTATCTGGGAGGCTGGACTGGATGAGGAGAAGTGTGGCATCAGGATCAGTGGAAGATACATCAACAATCTGCAATATACTGATGATACAACCCTGCTTGCTGAAACTGAGGAGGACCTGAAACGCTTACTGCAGAAGGTCAAGGACTGCAGCCTTCAATATGGATTGAGGCTCAATATCAAGAAGACAAAGATTCTCACCAGTAGGCCAACTGGCAACATCATGATGATGGTGAACAGCTTGAGATAGTTAACAGTTTTAGTTTGCTTGGTTCCAGAGTCAACACTCTTGGCACCAGAAGCCAGGAAATAAAAAGACACATTGCGATGGAATGTCTGCTGTTAGGGACCTCTCCAAAGTACTGAAGAGCAATGGTGTTACTCTGGAGACTAAGGTGTGTCTGATATAGGCCATGGTCTTTGCAATCACCTGCTATGCGTCAGAGAGTTGGACAATGACTACGGAGGATAGAAGGAGAATTGATGCCTTTGAGCTGTGATGTTGGAGAAGAGTATTGAGGGTATCATGGACTGCTAAGAAAAATGAACAGATTCATCCTGGAAGAGGGTTAAACCAGGCTGCTCCTTGGACACAAAGATTCTGAAGCTTCATCTGACATACCTTGGACATGTTACAAGAGGAGAAGGATGTTATGCTTGGGCAGGTGGAGGGACAGCCCAGGAGAGTAAGACCCTCTATAAGGTGGATTGATTCAATAACTGGGGTAATGGGGGTAGGTGTGTTTGGGACACTGAGATTGGCACAGGATAGACCAGGGTTTAGGGCTGTTGTACATAGGGTTACTATGAGTCACAGGCAACTCAATAGCACATGACAACAACAACAATAAAAATAATAGATGAAAATATATTAGTTTTAAGAGTTAAATGACAACAAAAGCACAAAACACCTAAACTTTGGACAGAGTAAATACAATACTTAAAAGTCAATATATAACAATAAATAAATTTTATTTATATATTATATATTTGCTTATATATAATATATATAATATTTGAACACATCTTGTTAAAAATCATTAAATTAATATACTTGACTCCATTAGGGTAAAAATTTACACTTTATCTTATAGTTAGAACTAATACAAAATAGGAGCAGCAAGAGAAGCTCCACAGTCACAATAAAAAGAGAAATTAAAAAGCATTAAAGCAGCAATAAATGAAATAGTAACAACAACAAACAATTGTCACAATAAAGTATAAAGCATTACAGCATCAATAAATGAAATAAAAACAACAAAGAAACAATCAGAAGAATCAACAAGATTATAAAATATTCTTTTTAAAGGATCAATAAAATCAAGAAGACAAAGTAAGTAATTAAAATATAAAATGAGATGGGAGGCAGTACATCAGAATCATATGCTTGCAAATGAAGAATCCAGGGGAAAATGGAGAGAAAAAATGGTGAATTGGGTGTTTCCTATAATTGACTTTGTAGAAAGATTCTGTGCAATTCAGTCGCAAAGTAAAAATAGAATATGTGCAATATTAGCCTTTGGCAGACCTTTAGAAAGACAATCAGTTGAAATGTGGTCTTCTAATGCTATTTATATTCTTAACTTTGCAGGAATGACCTATAAAATCATTTCATTCCAACTACTAATTGGAAGTTGGCATTGGGACAGACAAGTCACAGTATTTCCAAACAGTATCAACTGTGGTGTGTACTAAATCTCCACTTGATATTGCAAGCATTCATAAATTAGTTACAATCAGATCAGAGGAACTGTCATCACTCTCAACTTCAGCTCCCTGTGCTACTGTTAGTAGCCTGGACAGAACAGAGCTAGCAATAAATTCCAACTCTAATGGATCAAGCTGAAGGCAAGCATTCCCTGAGGCTAATATATAACACACATTGTAATCTTGCATTACAGTAGATTCTATTCTGGGTATAAGAAGGTCATAAATACATCAGACACAGTTCTACTAAGTGTATTAGTGAGAGTTTAGGGAGTCCAAACTCCTTAAGATTGTGCTAGGGAAATTTTCATTTATCTTTCATAACAGGGAAAAAAAGTCATGGTCCTTTTGTTTTCTCTAATTCCCTTTAATGGTTTCATGAATGAAACAAAGAAGAAAGGCAGCTGCATAATTGTGTTGAGATAAGCAATTACAACAAAAATCATTCATATGTATCTAGACATGGTGGCCTAGTGGTGAGAACCTGCACTGCAATCCCAAAGGCAAATGGTTTCAAATCCACTGTCTGCTCCATCAGAGAAGGACCTGCAATCTCCTTTCTAGCAAACTTATTGCCTCTGGAAACCCAAGGAGGGTCAGCTATAAACTGGTTCCAACTTGCAACAACAACAACAACATTTTTTCTGATCAAAAAGTAAGCATTATGCTGAGTGAACTAACCCATTCCCATAAGGATAAATGATCGTATAAAACCGTTATTGCAGAATGAGTATAAGGATCCAAGAGGGGTGGGAGAAGGTGGAAGCAGAGGGATGTGGATGTGCAGGGAGAGGGGAGGATTAATCATGGAG